CTTCTGGGTCCTCAGGGTGGATGATGGTCTGAAACTGGTGGAGGAGTGGATGCTGGAGATGAACAAAACTCCACGATTTCAAGAACGGTAAGACTCTTAGGGCCTACGGCCTGTCCAAGGACTTACTTCTGTGTGACCTTCCGGAACCAGATGGGCCCTGACTTGCTAGAAGTGTGTAAGGAACAAATGCAGGAGGGCCACATGGGAGCAGGGATGGATTGGGACCTCATAACTCTTCCCTACAAGAAGGGGGAGAGGAGGGAGTTAAAGAATTGGTGACCTATAACACTCCTGAACCTTGACGATAAACTGATGGCCAAAGTCTTGACCGAGCACCTTAAGTCTGTTACAGGTGCAGGAATCCATGAGGACCCAGTGTGTGCAGTGCTGGGGAGACAGATAAACAGAGCCCTGCTGCAGCCACTTCCAGAATAAACACAAAATGCACAACAAGGCCCTGGTGACCCTGATATACCACCTTAAGATGCAAGATGTGGTAAGGGCAAGGGACAGTTTGTCACACATGGACTTAATACCTGGCAACAGCTGCCAGGCTGTGTGGGAGTGAATCTTCCACAAAGATGTACAGAAGGAGCACAGGAACTTTAACTGGCAGGTGGCACACCAGGCACTCCCCATGCAGGTACTGAGGCAGAGAGGCCCACCAAACTGCCTCAGGGAAACCTGCCAGTGGAAAGTGGAAATGATTGATCACCTCCTCTGGTACTGCCCATACATCAGGGAGGTGTGGAGGACAGTGAACTTACTCCTTAGGATGGTGACAGGGGTCAAGACCCTGACCAGAGAGGCAGTGCTGTTCAGTCACCTGACCAAACACTGGAGACCCTAACAGCCAACTTCAACCAGGTCATCTCCTGCTTCAGGAATGTCCAATGGAAGACTAGGAACCTGCTCATGAAGACCCAAGAACCTCTCAGTTGAGGATGGCATCAAAATGAGATTGAGTGAGCCACCACATTTGTACCACATGAAAGTGAAAGAAAATGGGGAAGACATGACAAAGATCATATGGAGGAGAAGGGACCTGCACAGACAATTCAGAGGCAGGACCCCAAAGAGAACAACAATGAGGACAATAATGAAGATGGAGGTGACAATGATGATGATTATGATGAGTAAAAGATTGGGGAAACAGGCAGAAGAGATAGGATGGGAGTGGGGGGAAAAGGGGAGGTGCCAAGGCAGTCTTTTGCGTGATTGTGACAGTTGAAGGTGATGGTGACAGGCATGTGAGTGTGTGGGCATATATTTCTCTTCTATATATAGAAATATATATTTTTACAAAAAAAAGTGTCAGCATTCCTGATAGCTGCCTACACTCCTACTGCCAATGGGAGAGCTGAGTGATTACAAACTGAGTCTGAAGTAGATGCGATCCAAGTAATACTGTACAGAATATTTATTTCCCAGGAAAATGGAACTAGACATACAGCACAAATTTAAAATAAAACTTCCTTGCATGGAGTTTGTTTTTCATTCTACTGTACTTGGTCATCACAATATTACTGTTTTTAGGAACATCTAGTTGATACTCATACAACATTGTGACTGAAATGATTTTGCATATAAACTTGCTAATGTTAGACCCATGTTACAGACTGCATACTTCTGGTTCTATAACAATGTCTGTAAGCTCTGTGGTACAGAGACCATCTTTTCAATATGTATTTTTTACACAAATTTGTACAATTGGGTCATGATCCATGACTGGGGTGCATAGGCACTATGTGTAGGGTTATGGGTAAAGAGGATGAGAAGCATAAATGTGTGACAAATACAATGGAGTGCAAGGCAAGACAGCAGTAGCAGCAATGGAAAATGATCAGCTAAACTTCTGTTTTGGTTAAATATAAATATAGTTCCTATGCAGAAGGAAGCACAGAATGCTAAGTTAAGAGTATGCTAAGGTATAAAATGTGAACATCCTGTTTAAGGAGAATTCAGCTAGTCAGGAATAACCACAAAAGTGAACTTGCCTGTTTTTAGACATAGGAGGCGACAGGCTTATCTGAAAAGGAATCCATAAAAGGGCAAATCAGCATTCAGTAGAACTCAGCAGAACCAGCTGATGTGACTGTTTGATCTACTGCTGGACCTTTTTGTATGCACTACAATTCAATTTGGCCACTGCTTACAGACACTGGTGATAAGGGTGTTGAGTACTGAAATAATGTTCTGTGAAGCTTGCTTTTGTAATCAGTTGTAATTCTGAGAAATAGAGCAAACTGCTGGTTGAGTTTGATATCTTTACTTGATCCTGGTATCTCAAAATTCCTTTATATCCAACACTACAGTAAAAAAAAACAAAAATGTTTGAAATGATTAGAAAAATAATCCATTACATGAGAAGAGAGAACTATTACACTGCAAACAAGTTGAAAGCATTAATTATATCAGGTATTTCCTACAGTATCCCTTAATGTAAATAATTAAAACATTGTTCCATGACCAGCATTATACTGTAGCTTCTTTTTCAGGTGTCAAATTTTGCATATTTGCTTTCTAGATGCATCTCTCTTCTTTGTCTTCAGTTCTACTGCTGTAGATAATAAGAACTGCATGATGTATTTCAACACAAGTTCTCAAAAATGCAGATATAAATATTCATTGTTCCTAAGCTTTACAAGAAATTGTATCAGACATGTAGGCTAACCAGTAGGAGGAGGGATGACAAAGCACTGTTTCATCATGGAAAACAGCTCTGTGCAATTATGAGCTCATATTACCAGTACCAGAAATTCTGCTGTCATTCTTCAGGCAAGATCAAAAGAAACACAATCATCTACAGAAAAAAAACCCCAGACTGTTTACATTCAAGGCTGACTGTATATGCAGTGTATTTCTACCATTAGACATTACAGTACAGTGCTAAGCATTGCACAGTACTTTGCCTGCTTAGAGTCCTGTGTGACCATAATTGGCTAATCCTCACAAAACTCTTGAAAGGCAGTTTAGGATTGCCCAGAGCCACAGAGTGAATCAACTGGGATTAGAACAAAGCAGTACCTGTCTCTCAGGTGTGTGGGAAGCCCATAAGGCCATGTTGCCTCTCAAGGAAGGTTTCCAGTTGTACTGCAAAGAGATGTTATTAACAAAGATGCCACAAAACTGCAAAGTACTCTGTGAGATGGAGAAAGGGAAACAAAAATTCAAACATGCAAGTGAGAAATCCAAGCTGATACTATTTCAAAAGCTGTAGGGTAGACAGGTTATGATGCAAATTGAAACAAAATATAATTGAGTAGGAAGGGGAAGAATTTTTATTAAACTCTAATCGTGGAAGCGGCAGACCATTATCTATATGATTTATGGAACTGGCTTCAACTTTAGGCTACAGCTTTGCCTATGTTGTACTGATAAATTTAGCTTTCTCTGTTCTACTGTGTTAAGGAAAGTAAAATACTGAACTCTGAAAAACAAAACATGTTATGGCTTCCATACGTAGCAATGCAAAGTGGCAAAAGTTATCACAATCTACTGGAGGTGGTATTGGTTTGATAAATTGATCTATGCCTTAAAGTTTTTGATGAACCGAGGAATAAAAGGGGCTGTCATGGTAAATTTGTCCTCTTAATGAATGGACTATGTAGAAAAAAAATGGTTGATTTGTTAGTATGAAGCTCCTACTGACCTATGCCTTTGGTAACTTAAATTCCTTTACAGAGTCAGTAGAATTTTTTTGGAAAATTCTTAATTTTGTCAATTTTAGGTAAGAATGTGAACCACTTTCATTCAGCCAGTTCTACTTATCCTTTTTCAAATATTGGGGAAAATGTTTAAATTTCAATGACAAAGATCCAGGTGGAAAGATCCAAACGTGTGGACATCTTAAGGGCTGCTTTCAAGTGGAAAATGTATAAAAGTTTTTTTCCTCCATTTCTGGGAAATATAGCTAGCCATCATTGTTAAAAGAAGTGTTAATGAGATTTTTCTGGTTCTTTTTACCCATAGGGAGTCACTGGCCTCAAGATAGTACTGCCCTCTATATAGCCATACAACAGCAATCCTGTAACCACAAAAACTGAGAATCTCTCATCAGTGATTTTCAGTTTGTTTTAAAGAAGACAAAACTTTATTCCCATTTTACAGCCAGGAAAACTGAGTTACATAGTCATACAGTTCCAGGTTCTGCCACTTGTACTCTTACCTATACCATTTCTTGCAAGAGACTACTCAAGTCTTCTCTGGGAAACCTTAAATCATAAGCCTTGCTCTTTGCCATATGTTTGCGTGGTAGGGTCACTTCAGCTTAAATTAAAACAATCTTTAATCTGTTCAGTGTTTTGCCAAGGGCCATTTTGGCCCCAGCTGGCCCAGAGTCAGGGGAGCAGAAAGATGACTTGTAGCCAAATTTCCTCCTTGCTCTTGCCAAATACAAAGTGGACGCAGCTGAGGATGTGTCTCATGCCTTCTGTAGAATACTCAGTCACTGTTAAACTTTAGCACATGCACAATAACCAGATAGTAGATACTCCCCATAGTTAAGCAAACCTGACCCTTAAGTACAAGTGACTGAATTTAACAGCTAGTCCACCTGTCTCAGAGACTACTAAATCTGAGAAGACATTTTTTTCTTCTTCTTTTTCATGGCTTTGAAAAGTTTTATTTTAATCTTAGTTTTAAATTTAGTTTTCATTTTTCTTAATTTTTTTAGAGACTTGTTAATGTTTTCCTCCTGAATTTTAATCATCTTACTCTTCAAGGTTTGGGTTACATTTTAAAAAGGATACTGTTTCTTTAAAGCTGACACATACTGGGAGCTCAGAGGCTAGTCTTAGATTGCAGCCTGTTTTACTTCTCATAAACTTGCTATCGTTAGCTACTTTCAGGAGAATAAATTATATTGATTGGTTCAAATCAAACTTATGACCTGGTGGCAGTATTAGATGTTTGCTATAAAACATCATCTTCTCATTAATCTTTCATTACACAGAATGATCTGAGAAGCCAGCAACAGTCACACCACGCGCTCTCTCTCTGATGATGCCACTACAGAGGGCTCCCTTATTGGATCAGAGCAATTATTACCCTTACCGTACAGATCCTGAGAGTCTTATCAAATTTCCTCTAAGGTACAGCAAGCTTACAAAGAATCATGCGCTGCGTCTTCGGTGAGAACATCACAGAATTACTCTAAAATACAGTAAACTGAAGTCATTTGCAATTAAACATGGCTTAATTTTCATTTTGTTTACAGCACATCGTAAGCATTTCACAGAAAGGCTGAATGCACACAAATCATGGTGTTCTAACAATTCCAAGTTCCAGTTAAATCACAGATAAAAGCCAAGTAAACTTTATCCAGGGGAGAATTAAGGCAAAATCCTTGGTCTCTAGGCTGCAGGCATGGTAAAAGGGCCAAGTGAAAAAGTGCAAGTAACAAGTAGAGTTCAAAGCACTGACTGCTGCTAACCAGCTGACTGTTTCCAGCAGAGGAGCTAGGAGATGCACCACAGAGACAGGCTGGGCTTTCCTCCACATCATATTGTGACGTGTCCTGAGAGTTGTGAAGCTGACTGACTAGCATGCAGTGTACATACTGGCAGGCCTTCTAGGACAGCGTTTCTCGACCTGTGGGTTGCAACTCAAAAGTGGGTCACAAGAACATATGAAAGGGTCATAAACAACTATGAAAAAACATGGAAAAATCTCAATTTTCTCCTGTAAAAGGAGAAAAACCTGGGAAACTCTGGGTTTCGCCTTGCAGGCTGGCAGGTTTAAGTAGTTAAACTATTTACTGGGTCAGGACTGACCATCAATGTTTACAAATGGGTCCTGGTACAAAAGAGGTTGAGAACCACTGTTCTAGGGAGCCTATTTTCCTTTGGGTCTGGGGAGGAAAGCTCACAGTTTTGATGGATCCAAGCCTATTGTACTCTTAATTCATGCCAAAGTTTCCCAGGCTACGATGGAATGGGCTCTGGATCACCACTGGCTTGTCCACTTTAGCAACTAGGCACATCTTGATGCAGTCTGAGACCCAATTAGACAGTCTTTCTGCAGAAATGATTGTGCCTTTTGATCTTGTGGCTATGGAAGTAAGGAGCTGAGATTTCCTGGAAAGACTAATCCTGTGCAGATAAACAGACAAAGCTCTTTCCCACATCAAGCATTAGTAGAGATGCTCCAGCTATTAAAAAGTATTACTCTTTGTGAGGAAAACATATAGATGAATCTGCTGACTAAGGAAAAACTCCTTGGTTAGAAATTTGGGATGTATCGGAAGGGTGACCATGTAAACAACAGTACAGGGGGAGAAGAGGGGAAGAAATCTGTAATCAACAGGGATCCTGATTTTCTCTCTTTAAAAATCCCAAATTCTCTGATTTAAAAAGCAAAATCCTCGTTTTGCTGCAATTAAAATGTAACACTACTATATATATAGGTATCAGTTGAACACACTGTTTTATTGATATATTTACAATTTTAAAGCAAGCTATTTGGAAGTGTATCAGTGCTTCAATCAATATAATAAAATACATTTTAAATACCTGTATATTTTGGCATTCGATTTTGGGTTTTTTTATTAAAAAAAATCAGAGCTTCCCCTGCCAGGACTCTGCTCACCAGGACTCAAGTCCAGGTGCAGCTGTCCCTCTGCTGCTTTGTGGCACTAAGCAGCCTTAATATGCTGGTGCCCTGCCCCTGCCCAAACTGTTGCCCCTCACTCCCAAGCCACAGCCCTCCTCCCCCCCAGACCAGCCAGTGCCCCTCACTCTCAACCTCAGCTCCCTGACCATGCCGGTGCCCCTCGTTCCTGACCTACAGCCCCCTGGCCCTGTCAGTACCACTCCTGACCCACAGTCCCCCCAGCCCTACTGGTGCCCCTCATTCCCAACACACTTCCCTCTGTCCCCAGCTCCCCAGTGTGTGAAGAAGGAAGTGGGTGTGTGGGGAACGGGGTGAGTATGTGGGTGGGGGTGCACAGGCAATGCATGGGGGGCTGGAGGGGACACAAGTGACATGGTGGGGGGTAGGGGAGGCACATGCCCCGCCCCCAGATTTCTTTCCCAACAGTGGGGTGTAGGGCTGCAGCCACGCTGGACCAGCTCCAGGCAGGAGCCATCTCCACAGTCTAGTGGGCAGGACCCAGCATGGGAGGGAGTGCTGCCATGTCCACCAACCTGAGGCACCCTCTGACTGCCTGGCAGTAGCAGGAGCCCAACTTTGCCCCCTCGCCCCCTCACTGCATTGCCTGTGCTCCCTCCTCCCCCTCCATAGACTTACTCAGAGAAGGGAGTTTCTCTCTACCGCTGCTTGGCTGCCAAGTGCATATGTGCATGCACCCCGCCCCAAGCAGCCCCCTACAGGCTGGAACTCTGCCAGTTTGCAAGGGGAAACCCATGATTTCCCATGTTTTTTCTCCTTTAAAGGAGAAATCCATGATGTTCTCTGCAATGAATGGAAAACCTGGCTCTCTGGCCTGGTAATCAATGACTGGTTCTCATCCACTCTTTTTGCCAAATCTCTGACCACCCAAGCCATCTTCACAGACAGATGGAGGAGCAAGTGGGTGATGGCTGCCTGCTAAGAGGGATAGGAGGGATTGCCTTAATCAAGCCCTTAAGGAACTTCAATGTCACTGGGTGGGAAAATCCCCAGATGGGTTGTGAGCTAAGATAGCAGCTGGGAATACTCTGACAGAGCAGAGGAGCTGGTCACTGAACTGCCATTCTAGTAGGTACATTTAAATGACCAGAATGGAGATGTTGTGGGAGAAAGTGCTCTTGCACAGCACTGGGCTGAAAACAATACCCTAATCATAACTGAAACTGAAGCCAGTCAATCCAGAATCAGTACTGGCAGGGCCAAACACATCAGAAAACACTTTGGTTCAGGCTGGAAAATTAGGTCACTGCGCAGCAAAATGAGACAGCACTGTGAAAGACAATAGGACCAGTGGATGGGACAGTGTGGCAGGAAACTACTCAGGGACATTGTGCCTTTCTATAGAGCAACTGGTGCTGAGGCAGAAAATGGTGCTAGAGTGTCAGTAGTGAAGACTGAATTCCAGAGGGGAAATTAAGAGGTGACTTGGGGACTTGTTCTTATGCTTCCCAGGCACTGAAGAAATGGATTCTCTGGACACTTCTGAGACTCATCAGGATCCACAGATTGAAGGAGTCTTGCAGCAAGAAGAGAAGGAGAGGGGAAAGAACACCTCCTTGAGACATCCTAAGAGAAGGAACCTCTCCTTGAGCAGTCTCTAAGCTACACTCACTGAAGGACCTCTCTGGCACTGCCAATGAAGGTGGCCCTTTTAGAAGGGAACTCATACCCCCAGAGGTCTATGTTCAGTTGAGCTCAGTGCTCAACTGAACTGAACATATATTTCTCCATAGGTGCGTCTGGAGTCTAGTCTCACAGTTCTGGGAAATGAAATATTTGCAAATAGCATTTTCCAGGGACGTGGAAATACCCAGTGGGCCAGATGAGCAGCAGGGAGCTGGTCCTGTGGGTTGGCATGCAAGGTGGGCATGTGGGGTTGGTCTGTGAGTGCAATTAAGTGCACCCATCCAGCTGGATGCACCAAATTCAGCCACAAGCCACCCCAACCTTGCACGCACCAGCATGCACCTGATCCAGAGCCCACTACACACACATGGGGCTCCCCATGGGCCAGAAATTTGGCAGCAAGGAAGTGGCAATTAACGCTGCCATCGCCCCCCCCACATTTCTGGACCCATGAAGAGCTGCAGGGCAGACATCATGGCCTCCCCAGCTGGATCTGACCTGTGGGCCAGATGTTGAGCAGCCCTAGTAATAGAACTAAATGATAGTGAGAGCATTTACTCCACCAAGTGCAGGCAAATCCTTGTCACAGAAGGGGCAGATCTTGAAACAAGGCAACCAGGGGAAGGCCATGTCAATGGCTGAGGGAAAAACAGTCAAAGTGAAAGGAAAAATAGATTCTCACTCAGCTGAAGAAGTCACATGCTACAGGCCAAGGGAATCTCATATCTTTCTGGAAAAAATGACAAAGGCCAGAACCGAAAAAGGAGAGAAAAAGAACTAAAAATAATTTAGAGGCAAAAAAAAAGAAGAAAAGAGGCAGAAAAGGTGAGTCTCAAAGAACAGCCATTGATGAAGCACATACTCCATAAAAGATGCACAAGCCCTGACTGGCAGTGGGAAGTTTATACTGCCCTTTATGCCCTTGGTGAGAAAAGACAGGGACCAGTCATGCTGTGTGTATACTACAGGGGCAAAACATTTTCTAAGCTAAAGAAAACAAGTGTATACTTGTATGTGTATACCTGAGGTACACATCTATGGGCAATCCTTAGGGAAGAATTAAAAATCTGCTCATCATGGAATATATTCCCCATCAACATTCATGCAGCTTTCAAGAGGTCTCCATTAAATGACTGAAGTTTGATCAGAAACTTGAATTCTGTTGACAGTTAAATATTGCCATAGGGACACAGAGAAAGGGAGGCACATGGTGTTGACAGGAGGTAATTGCTTCATTATTTCTTAACTTGAGGTGAAGAATGCCTTCCAATGCCTTGGAAATGACAGCTCCCAATAGCACAATCCATCGTCAACATAATGGTGACAGGACGGATGGCTCCCTTCAGCTATCAGCTGCACTTTAGCAGCAGGCATCTTTCCCACATGATGATACACAGCACTATCTTTAATCATGCATCACAGAAAAGTCTCGTTCATACAATGTTGTAAAACCTGCAGCTGCAGGGGGTCCTTAGCTTACAAGACTCCACCCCATCACAGTCAAGATGATAAATCAGCATAACATTTCCTTCTCATACCACAGAGATACCGTCAAGGACGTGACTGGGAGGTAGGCAGTCAGACTCTAGGGGGCTCAAGCCCAGGAGATCAGGAAGAGGCAATGTCTGACCGGGCTTTGCCACTCATGGGACTGTCTGCCTCTGTGCCACTCTTGTCTCCCTTTTTATTAGTTTGGTTCTGGTACATTATGGCTAGGGACAAACATTACCCATAAACTGGTTTAAGTGATCGGAAACTGGTTTAAACCTGTAACAGATGTTCAGTGCATATAAACCAGTTTGAAAATGGCTGAAACCGGTTTGAGATAAATCTGACTGAATGTAGTATCAGACTTAACTGATTTGACTCAAACTGGTTTATGCAATGTCTGTCCCAGA